TCTGTATCCTGCTGCTAGGCAGTTGCTGCTGGGTGTGTGTTGTGTGTGGCTCTGTATGCCTTTGTAGATCAGATACCTTCACAAAGCAGCATAGCACACCCATGGCCCTGCCACTTGCTTTTTCATAGGATTCTGTTCCACCTTTGACAGTCCCGGCTGCACATGAGGGTTCCGTCCTGTGTTTTACATGTGCTTATATATGTCTTAAAACTTAATCCAAGTTTTTTATTTTGGGCTGGGGATTGAACTCAGGGCATCATGCACACCAGGCACATGCTCCACTGAGCACCCACTGAGCTACATTCTCCATTAGTGTCACCCACCCCAGCCACCCCTAGGCACTCCCTCCCCTCTAGGAGCGCCAGGGCTCCCTCCATGCAGTGACTTAGAGCTGAACAGAGAGGTGAGCCATAGGCCCGTGTGTGTGGTGTCGTCACCAGCAGGCTGGACTCTAGTCCTGTTGGGCAGGGGGGTGTTTTCCATGGTGGTTTATGGGGGCCCTCAGGTTTCATAGTTCCCTCAGCATGCTCGGAAAGATCCAGTTAGGCCTGCAAAAGGCCACCTGTGCATCCAAGGGCCAGCGGGTCTTTCTCCATCTCCTTTTTCTGCAGCGGGTGGAAGAGCACACAGAGGCCTGGAAAATCCATAAACTGCATAATCAGCCCCTGCATCTTGGCTGCTTGAATCTGTTTATTGCTTCCTGTCCCCGAAAGCCCTTTGCAAACAGAGTGGCTTTGAGGGGGTGAGTTGAACCTAGTGGGTGGCCTACTCCTGCCAGGCATCAGGCCCACAGCAAGGAGGGAACAGCTTCCCTCACCGAGCCCATTCCTGACCCCTCTACCTGCCACCACCCAGCAGAGGCTGCGGAGGGTGGGGAGAATCCAGGTGGGTGTGTGAGAATGTGAGAAGGCCCCTCGAAAGGGCGCTGTGTGCTCCCTTTCCAAAGGACAAGGGCCCCATTTCTCCTGATTTCCTCAAGAGCCTCCTGGTTAGGCTCTAGGGAGATATAGGAAGGAAACAGAGTAAAATCTTAGTCTCTTGTGGACCTTGTGAGGTGGGGTGGGAGGGGGTGGCTGCGGACAGTTCTGGGGACAAAGGCTTTAGGGCTTGTTCACAGCCACCTTTATTGTTGTTTGCATTTCATTTTTGAAAACAGGTTTTTCCTTGCAACTGACTTTTTCCCTTGGTAACCGTACTTCCTTCCCTCTCACCTCCCCAGCCTTTAGCCTCCCTCCTGCCAATTAATCACCTCACAGCCTTTGGGGCCATAGCTGGTAGCTGAGAGGTGACACTCAGGGAAAGGCCGCCGCCCTGCTAAAGCTGCCCTCGCTGTGGGGTTCCAGAGCTGCTAGGTGCCTGTGAGGACTGCGCTGGTGTTTTTCTCCCATCTGGGACAAGGCAGGGGTGGAGTGTGCGTTACACCTGGTGATCAGAAGAGGGGGTGCAGCCTTTTGGGAAGCAGGTGTGCAGGAAGGCATCCTTCCCAGAGTTGCAGAATGCACTCTTCCCTTGTCATCTGCTAAGCCGAGTCCCTTCCTCCTCAGTGCTCCTTGGCTTGGCCTCCCTGACTTGGAAGACTTGACCACAAAGTCCTGATTTTGTCCTCTTCTGGAAGCCCTTTCTAATAGAAAAAGCAGTGGAGACAGTCAGCCTGCACTCCCCCCCTTCCCCGGCTCTCCCCCGCCTCTCTACCTGCTGTGTGTGACAGGCTGTGGTTTGCCTGTGCTGTTCTGCAGGTGGCTTCTAAGCAAACTCCACCTGGGACCTGTGTGTGTCTGAGCCTGTGCTTTTGGTTGTGCAATTCTGAGCCTGCCCCACCCTCCCAGCTCTCTCCTGAAAGTGAAATGCTATAGTCCTTGCTCAAGAACAGAGGCCTCAAGCTCAGCGCTGCATGCTAATGATTTTCAAGTGTGGCCACTTCCTCTTGCATGGCCTCACTCACCCTGGCTGCTGCCCAGTGTGGCTGTGATGGAAATACTATGTGAAGAGAGGCCAGACTGGGACAAGGAGACTCTGCTTGGGGGAGCATTGGAGCCTGGTGAGATCCCTCCGGGCCTGGGACTACTGTGGCTGAGGAAGTGAGTGTTCAGCTTCAAGCTGGGGTGCCCTCGCTTCTCTTCATCTCCCTGCTCCCCACTCTGGCCACTGTAGCTCAGCACGATCACTTCTGTCCTACTCCAGGAGGGTGGAGGGGAGACTTTTGTCAGGATCGTTCCATGTGTTCAGCTCTTCTGGACAAGTTTCCTTCCTTGCTCCCCACGCAGGTGCACTACTGTAAGTGGGTGACAGTATGGTAAGAAGTTGGCAATGTGGGCTTTAACACAGTCCTGACTTGGTCACTTCTTCACTGCGAGACCACTGGTGAGGTTTTTTTTTTTAGCTCTTCCATGCCTCAGTTTCCTCATCTGCAAAATAATAGTTCCTACCTCCTGGGATTTTTGTTGGGATTCCATGTAGCTAACACGCCTATCCTGGAGCCTGGCAGATGGAAGGGGCTCATGGACTTTCCCTCACATTGCACACTGTGAAGTACTGTGCACACATAAAGCACAATCGTAATGGACAGTCAGCATGGTCAGAGTGAGAGGATCATCTATTTTGGGTTTCTTAAATGATGAGGATCAGCAGATGCAGGCTATAATTCACAGATGTTTCCCTCTGGGGAGGCTGGGTTTGCATTCTTGCCTTTCCCATTTGCCCTTTCCCTTTAGTTATTTTGTGTGCACAGGCTGATGGCAGGCAGAGGTACATGAATCTGAATTCACCCCACATTTGCACTGCTGAGCACTCACAGACCTGGAAGGATGAGCCAGTCATGTGTTTGGTACCAGCAGGCAACATTTGAGCACTACTGAACACATCCTGTTTTCATGGTGATCATTAAAGGAGCCAAGGACTGGAATGTCTAGTTAGTTTTGGATTCCAGCAACTGCTACTCACGCTGTGTCCTCACATCCCTTAAGTCCAGATAAGCATGCAACCCTTTGGTAGGCAGGGGCCATTCTGTCCAGCACAGCCCTCATGCTCACCCTGTGCTGGAGGAAGGCAGCTAGCTCAGTGTCCATCCACACAGCCCAGACCGCTACTTCCCTTGAGACACAGAGCTGGTGCAAGCCCAGTGCAAGTGTGGGCTTGTGAGGTACTTTGGCAGTGCCTTTGTTTAATGACTGTTGACTAAGCCCAGGTGTGCGAAACCAATGTTTACAGAATCCTGGTTGGCTGAGAGATATGGCTGGAATGAGGAAAATGGATGTTCAGGGGAGGAGGGAGGTGGCATGGATAATCCAAAAGCCATTTGTTTAGGGCCTGGAGCCAGAGATGGTATTTTTTACAGATTTCCCTAAATCAACCAGACAGGAACACTTTGTGATGAGTCCCTGTAGTGTATGTTGATCTGTCCGTCCTTGAAAGTCAATTCCTACATGTATGGACCATTGGGCACTCGAGCAGACACAGTGCTGTCAGGGGTGGAAAGAATCTTGGGACTCCTTTAGACCTCTCTGCCTATTTCCCAGGGATCCTGGAGGTCCAGGAGGTCACTGGACTTCCCTAAGATCATTTGGCTACTTAGTGATGGGGGGAAAACCAGTGTTCAGGTCTCCAAACTGCGCCCACCTGTAAGATAGTGGTCCTCATACTTCACCGTGCATCCATGTGACCTGGAGAGTTTGCTAAGACGCACATTTCCTGGCCACACGGCCCTACTGAACAGTGGGATGAAGAATGTGTTTTCTTAGTAAACCCCTCAGGAGAGTCAGATAATAGCGGTCTCTTCCCATGTGTGTGTGTATTTTTTTGAACTGGGATCAAACTCCGGACCTTGCACTTGGGAGGCAGGCAGCAGAACCATTGAGCTAAACCCCAGCCCGCCTCCAGCATCTTCTGATGCACTACCACAGTGCAAAGCACATTTGTTTCTTGGACCCATAGGAAAATGTATTTGAGTTTCCTGAAGTTACATTGGTTGCAGTGAGGGGAACAGGTAGATGCAAATATCTTGGGAGATGAATGCAGAAGAGGTTAAAGGCAGGGTGTAGAACACATTGCAGGAGTTTGTGGTGTGTCAGGAGACTTGGAACACACACTCATTGGCGGTGTTTGAGCACTGGCTGAACACATCCTACTTTAACAGTGATATTAAAGGAGCCAAGGGCTGAGAAATGTCCAGCTATTTTTGGAAAGTTCCATAAGGTTTTGCAGATTGAAGGGGGCATAATCCCAGATGACCTTTAGGTCATGTGTGACTCATCTGTAAAATGCCTGACAGTAGAAGGTGATACCAGTAGAAGGAGGTGATGTACTGAACTGTCATGACAATGACATGGCAAGATGCGCAAGAAACACTGCCTAGCACCCACTAAAGGGCAGGTTCTCCGTCATGCATAATTGCTGGACTGGGCAAGTGCAGGTTTCTCCTTCATGTCTTCAATAACAAAATTCTGCTGGGGGTTCCACTTGAAGGAAGGGGTTTCGGTTCTGCAGTGAAAGGAAGGGTACAGGTTCGTCCATGCCTTAGGGACTGGGCCACACTGACCTTCTGCAGAGGTAGCATTGTGGTTTGTGCCTAATACATAGTGGCAACTTTCTCTGGGCCTGCTCCACACCTCCCCATACCCGTGCATCTGGGTGGCCTTCAGTGATCAGACTGGACAGTCCTGATGCTCACCATATTCTAGGAGTGGAGACTGAGGTCCGCGAGAGCAAAGGCAACTGGTTGTGAGGCCCCAGGGAACTCCTGGCCTTTCCCCGCACTATCAGAAGCCCCTCAGAAGCCGGCTGGGCCTGCAGGCAAGCAGGAGACCAGCACCTTGGCCAGCGTGACACTGGTTCTGGCCAGATTTGCTGCATGTCGGGTCAGCCTGACCTCACCAGAGCTGTAAAAGCCATCGTGGGTGTGGGGCGCAGATGGAAGAGAAAGGAAGCGATCCTCACCTCATCTGGCTGTGCCGTCAGCCAGGTGAAGGGGCAGGCGTACTGTGGGAAGGATGAGGGTTCTGTTCGTGTGCAGAGTATGTGTGTGTTTGTACATGTACGCAACGTGACTGTTTCCAGAGCGAAGAAAGGACGCTTTTGCTTGAGCACCTGGGCTGGAGGGGAGAGTTTGAAGAAAATCCTGGAGAAGATGTCTGTGCCTGTGGCTGTGAGGGGCCTGGGCCGAGTGTGAATGTGCTGCACGGTGCAGGTGAGTTGATGTGTGTGGCACATGCAGGTGCGTGAGCGTGCTGTGTGTATGCCGTGCGAGAGGAGAGCCCTGGTCCAGGAGTCTCACGATCTGAGTTCAGATCCCATCTTTGCAGCCACTGAGCCCTGTGAACTTCAACCCCGGCACTGTCTGGAAGTGAGAACCCGAGCTTTCTCCTGTCTCCCTGGCCACGGAACTCTAGAGTGCACTTGTGGACGTGGGTGAGTGACAGTGTCAGGTGGGGAGGGGATACCTGGCAGCTGCCTCTGGGTGCTCCTGGCCTGGAAGGGGGGCTGCTGCTACAGAACCCACAGTGGGGAGGTGAGCAGGAGGGACAGTCTGTGGTGGTGGGGTAGCCGGCCAGGGTAAGCACTTTAAACAATCCCATCTGCAGCCTGAGCTGAGTGGAATTTCTGAAGGTGTCCGGGCTGCCTGAGGAGGGCGGCCCTCCCTGCGCAGCTGCTGCCTGTCCCTTTGAAGTGCCGCCCTGGGCCAGGCTCCCCGCTCTCCTAGCCTGGGCTCCTGCCCTGGGCCTGCATTCCTCAGCTGCCAGAGGCAGCGCTTCTGTTAGATCCGCTTTGCCTGTGCAGCCGGGGCCGCCTTGGGGCAGACCCACCACCAAGACCATCACTGCCGCCACAGCCACCCCTGCCACTGAGCCTCCTTCCTTCCTGAGGAGGAGCAGGAGGCCTGGTGTAATAGTTCAGCCACGTCTCCCCTCAGAAGCTTGCTCACTGGGGACAGGGCATGGTCAGGAAAGGGCAGAGGGGCTCCTCTCTCAGAGGCTTCTGAAGACTTTGTGCTGTGATCATGCCCAGCCAGGCTGGATTCAAGAGCACATCCTGGGCCAGCTTCTGAGAACCGTGTGCTCTCGGGGTGTGAAGGGTCCATGCCTGTTTTAAGAACAGCTTCCACCAACTGGGAGGCGCCCACCACAGTGAATCTCCCTCCCTCAGGAGCCCCACCTGAGAGGGCACGGCTGTCCCTGATTCACAGATAAGGAAACACCAGAAGAAGCCCAGTTCCCCAGGTAGCGCTCCTGCCTGAGCTGTGGCCCACTCAGCTGCCCTGCTCTGCAGCCTCTTCCTTGGACCCAGCACCAGTGGACGCCAGCCGGAGTTAGGCCCTCTAGTTGTGGTCCTTCCTCGGAAAGGCTGTGGCCTGGACCATTCCCATGCCCACTGGGCCCTGTGTCCTTGACCAGGGTGGGAGGGCACAGCGAGGGATGGCGCCTGGTTTCCACTGAGGCAGGCCTGGAAAAGGTCTGCCGAAGTAACTGCGGCAGGAAAGTTCGGGTGGGGAGTCTAAGGGTTGCAAAAGGTTTTAAGCCCCGAGGCCCTGGAGCTTGCTTGCTCTCCAGATTTCTTCTACCATCATTAGTTTTCTTTGGTAGTTGTTTGTTTTGTTTTGCTTTAATTAGACATTGTCAGGTGGGTGTTAAGAAAAGCATGGACTTGGGAGCCACACTGTTTGGGTTCCACCTTTGGCTCAGCCCCTGATTGTGTGATCCGTGTAAGTCACTTAACCTGTTTGAGCCTTCGTTTCCTTATCTCTAAAGTCACTCTAATAATCGGGACACAGCAGTGATTTGATAGCATATGCCACATGCTCGGAGGGTGCATGGCACATAGCAAGGGCTCACAGATACTTGCTATCATTTTTATCAGAAAGTAACTCAAAAGGCTGGGAATATGTCAGTGGTAGAGGTGCTTATTATGTACGAGGCCCTGGTTCAAACCTTGGCACCAAAGGGGGGAAAAAAAAAGTAACTCCTGTCCAGTGCAGATAATACACATATGCAAAAAGAACATAAAGATTCTTGGCAATGCTATTACTTTGATGTTCTTGCATATTTTATATTTACATGAAGATGTGAACATGAATTAAGACTTAACAAGCATACAAAAATTTACAGGAAAAGATTTCCCTCATCTGTTTGTTCTGGCTCAGTTCTCCCCAGAAGGTTAGGGGAAGGATTGAGCTTCTGTTCCCAGGGCCCCTCTCCCCAGCCTGAGCACCCCTGCAAATCTCACTCAGGTTCTTCGGCCTCCCTGCCTCAGGTGTGCTCTGATACTAGATGGTGGGGCTGACTCCCCTCCTGTCCCAGGAGCCCAGAGATGTCTCCTGCTGCCATGCAGACTTCAGAGCTCACCCAGACCCTGCAGGGTGGCCCAGGGAGGGCAGCTGGTTCCACTTCCTCAAGAAGCTGGGCCTGGGCCAGCATGAGCTCACACCTGGAGCCAGCCCAGCTTCCTGGCCCTGCACCTGAGCTGCCATAGGCCCCTTCTCCCAATCAGGGCCATTTCAGTGAGTCCCAGGCATGCACACGTTCCTGCCGGTCCACCGGGGCCCCTTACAGTGTGGCACTTTGGTGGGGAGCAGCACCCCTCCATCCACGGGGGTTTGATCTCCCAGGCACCTGGGTTGAGGTCTTGGCTGAGTTGCTGGTGTTTGTTGATGAAGGGAGGGACTGTTGTTGAAATAAAAGTCCTTGTCTGCCCAGGTGGTGGTGCTAAACAGTTGGTTGCTCAGGCAACTTTACAACTTTGGTGGTGTGGGGAAAAGCATTTTACTTTTCCACTGGACAAGGCTTTACCTGCAGACTCCTTCCCTTGCTTGCTAGACATGAGTGAAATCCCTAACAAATCTAGAGGCACCCAGAATCACCCCCCACACACATACAACTAGGGGCCGCTCTGCTCTTCAGAATTCAGTGCAGCTCACGGCCACTGACGCTTGCTGTGTGCCCGGCCCCATACTTGGCTCCAGGGAACACAGAGTGCTGCCCAGGCCCGACTGATGTGGCGCGTTGACTCTGGAATCAGACTGCCTGGGTTCAGATTTCAGCTTGGCTCCTCAGCTGCGTGACCTTGAACGAGCTTCTTCACCTCGACAAAGCGGAAAGGGCAGGAGTAATGTGTACCTCCTAGGCTGACAGGATGGAGAGTCGCCATGCATAAGGCACTGGGAGTAGAGGTCGACATCCGTGAGCGTTGCTATTATTATCAGTATTTTTATTACCACTGTCCTACCAAGGACATGAGTTTCCCGTGCCTGGGAGCGTCATCTTGGATCTGTTCAGCTGGAAGGCAGAGCTGACTTTCTGATGATACCTTTTATGGCAGCCTAGCCCAATATGTGGGCGTCAGGAGCAGAGGTAAAAGATGGTGTCCCTAACGCCCAAGGATCCAGGACCAGTTTGCCTGTGGGGAAGGGACCTAGACCTCCTTTGGAATCTTTGGCCCTCATCCCTGCCTCACATCTCCCACTGGCTACAGATCTGGCCAGAAATGTTGAAGCAGAAAGAGGGAAATTAGAAACGAAAAAAGATTTTCTTCCCTCCTTTTTATTTTCAGAATTTTATTTATTTATTTGTTTATTTATTTATTTATTTTTGTACTGGGAGTTGAACTCAGGGCCTCAGCACTGAGCTTCGTTGCCAGCCCTGCCCTTACTCCTTTATTTTTTATTTAGAGACAGGGTCTTGCTAAATTGCCCAGATTGGGCTTGTGATCCTCCTGCATCAGCCTCCCAGAGTGCTGAGTTTGGGATTATAGGCATGCAGCACAATGCCTGGCTTTAAAAAGTTTTAAAAACAACACTACCGGGTGTGGTGGCGCATGCCTGTTATCCCAGCACTCAGGAGGCGGAGGCAGGAGTATCGCTGTGAGTTCGAGACCAGCCTGGGCTACATAGTCCCAGATCAGTCTCAACTACATAGTGAGACCCTGTCTCAAAAAAACAAACAAAAAAACAAAACAGCACTACCAACAACAAGATGTTTGAATGCCTTAGATCCACAGATCTGACTAGATGATAGAAGATGAGGTTCGGTCAAGGAGTTGTGCAGTGCACAGCCTGCACAGCTGCATGGGATAGCGCTGGAAAGGTAGGTGCTGCCCTCGCCCCCGCTGAGTGGTTGTGGAAGCCATGTGTCCTACTTCTCTGTATCCTTTCTTCTCCCTAGGAAAGAGCTTTGGGAGTCCTTTCATCAAATTCTCATGTTTAACAGATGAAGAAGTGATAAGTGGCCCAGAGAGGGAAGGAGGCAACCTAAGGTCACACAGCAAACAGGGAATGGCAGAGTTGTGTCTCTCTTCCTGTTCCTCCTCCTTTGCTCTTGTCCAACCTGGCTTCTATCTCCAGTGGCTATGCTGAGGGACCTCTGAGCCCTTCCTGGTCACCCTGGGGTGGGCAGAGGCGTGGTTGTCTAGTGGCCCTGGGGACCTCAGACAGTGAGACTGGCTTTGTTATGGCCCCAGTGGCTGTGGCCATTTGGACTGAGTTTCCATTAAGCTGTTTCCGTGCCTTGGGCAGAAGCAGGCAGCTCAGCATTTAAAGGTCACCCGGCTTTTGAAGCTGCAGCGACATTAATAGCTTGGGAAGAAAACAAGCCTGCGCAGGGGCAGGAGGACAAGATGGCTCTGTCAGGGCCGCCCCTTGGCCACCCCCGGGCACACACGCACACAGATCCCAGAGCCTCAGGATCTTGCTTGCTCTGCTCCCTTCCCCTCTCCTCCTCCCGGTTAGGCCTCTTCAGGAGCCCCACCCGGCCCCGTAGCGTCTGAGGTGACAATTGGAGGAGGAGGGTGCCGCTGCCTGGCTGCTGGGCCACCTCTCCATTGCAATGAGGCTTCCCAGGATTTATCCGTGGTTACACAAGCCTCCCAGGGGGTCATGTGACCTCATCCTGGCCCTGCTGGCTTTTGCAGCCCACTGATGAGACAAAGTCAGCCCGGCCCTAGCTTCCCGGATGGACATAGGAGGGGAGGGAAGGCGCTGGCCCTGCACTGGGTCTCGCTGGCCAGGCCTGGTCACGTGCCAGGGGCTGGCCAAAGCGCCCTGTCACAAAGGGACCTGAGCTGGTGGGCTTGGGGGACAACTGCACCTAGATGGATTGGTGATGTCTGCCAAGGACGAGGGGTAGAAAGCAGTGGCGTAGTGCAGTTCCAAAGCCCCGGGGTCCATCCGGTAGCCCTTCTCTCCCTTCGGTCCCAGGGTGGGGGTGGGGCACACCCTTGGCTTCTGGCAGAGAAGGTGCTGTCTGCCCTTTCCGGGAGCAGCTGGGGCCTGAGCACAGGGATGCCACCTAGTGGCCTGGCCTGGCAGTGCCACTGGGCTGGGCCCAGAGATTGGGCAAGAAATGGGTGCCTCCTGGGACCAGCAGAGATCGCATGACCTAGGATCTGTTTCTCAGTGATTTTCTGAAGAGGAAGCCTGG